GGAAACCCAAGGAGGGGTCGCTATGAGTCGGGTCCGACTTGATGGCACATAACAACAACAACAACAAATCCCATATTAGTTTTGCATCAACACAAACATGAATGACACTTTTCAATGATATAATGTGAAATGAAATTGTTATCTAGGAGGATGTGTCATAATGATCCTTTGGCTTCTTGCAAACATTGCCTTGTGATCCTGGAAGTTATTTAATATTTTAAAAAATATTTTGTTTTGTTTTAGATGAAAGTTTACACAGCAAATTAGGTTTCAATTTAACAATTTTTATACAAAATTTTCCATGACATTGATTACAGTTTTCACAGTATGTCATGTCAGTATTCTCATTATTTCCATTCTGTTTGCTCTGTTTCCATTATTCTAGCTTCCCTTTCCCTCCTTGCCTTCTTAAAAATCATAGTTTTTGATTAAATGTTGACTGTTTGGTCTCATATTTTTAATGTTTAATGGAACATATTATTCATGAGTGATATTGTTTATTTTATAATTCAATCTATTATTTGGCTGAAAGATGACCTCCAAGAGTAGCTTCAGTCCCAAGTTCAAAGAGTGTCTTAGGGCAGTAGTCTAGGCAGTTCCTCTAGTCTCTGTCCATCCAGGAGGTTTGGTTTGTTTTAGGAATTTGAATTTTGTTCGACATTTTCCTCCCATTCTTTTCGGGACCTTCTATTATGTCCCTTTTCAGAATGTACTCAATATTTTTGTACACAGTTTCAAAATCTGTGAAACAGGAATATTATTACAAGTTTCCTTGCTATCTGAAAGTAGGCTGTTCATATGAAATCTTCCATAAGCCAGAATGGTGTAAAGCAAAAAAGCAATAGCCATTAATTTATTTGGGAAAATTTTTGAGCATTCCCAGGCCCTCAAAATAACCTACCAAATCACACCAAAAAAACCGAAAACAACACTAACATACAGTATTCACAGACACAGTTCAAAGCTATGGGTGGCTTGATGCTGAGATGCTGAGTATAGTTCCTCAGGGAAAGAACTTGGTCAGGCCATCTTTGCTGCTTGGGGGTATATACTGCCTTCCTAAGGGCTCACTGCAAAACATACGCTGAATGCAAGTTTTGCTTTTTACCATTTTTTTTTTTTTTAAATGGCTTTTTCTTCTGTAAAAGTTAAAATCCTCTTAGAATTTCCTTTTGTTAGTGGGAACAGGTACTAATGTAAGTCTTTCTTTAAAGCAAAGTTGTGTAAAGCAAACTTCCAAAAAGTGAGGAATACCTGTCCTAGCTCCTGGATTGTTTATAAGGATTAAAAGTGAAAAAAATGCATATTGAGTTCCTAGCATAGTGTCTGGCACATAGAAGTCATGCAATATGATATTGTGGAATAAATACTAATATATATGATATAGAGAGACAGAGAGAGGGAGAGAGAGAAAGATAATAATCATGAGAATGCTTGTCATCTAAGAGCTCTTGTGGCACAGTGGTTAAGTTATCTGCTGCTAACCAAAATGTTGGTGGTTCAAATCCACCAGTCTCACCATGGGAGAAAGATGCAACAGCCTGCTCCTGTAAAGATTACAGCCTTAGAAATCCTATGGGGCAATTCTACTCTGCTCTATAGTGTTGCTATGAGTTGGACTCAACTTGAGAGCAATGGATTTTGGTTTGGTTTCTCTTAGCTAGAGAATGCCAAAAGAATATAAATGTTAGTATTGCCTTACCCTTTAAAATCTTACATTTTCAAATAAGGACACAGAGATTCAGAGGAATTAAGGTCTGAGTTGTAGGCAACACAGGGACTGGAATTACAATTTCTTTACCATATTACCTATCTTGCATTATTAAGTCCCACACCTGGACTGTTTATTATAATAAACAAAATAGTGTGTAAGTATAGCCATTTATAGTTTAAAAATATCCTTACCTGTTTAATCTCCTTTGGTTTTCACAATAATCTGTGAGTTAGGTAGTACATTATGATTATTATTATCCTCATTGTACAGTCAAAATAAATTGTGGCCCTTAAAGGTAGAATGACTACCCACCATAGCCATGTAGTTGTTCACTAGCAGAGCCAGGACTGGAACCCAGATCCTCTCACACATGATTCAGTCCTGGTTTTATGAACTCACAGTTGGTGTGTTAGCTAAACTGTGCTTGTGTCTAAGTGAATCTTCAGATAGTGATGTAAATCTTTCTCATTGAAATGTGGGGCATTAGGGTCCATACAGCGGCCTGTTCTGTTTTGGAGTCAGGATGTTTCTTTCAGGGGTATAGAAGTTTTCACCCTAAATCTGGTATTTGTGTGGCAAAAAGGAGTGAATCACTCCCAGGATGTGAATAGGAAGACTGTTCCTTGGCTGGGTGATTGGAGGTTGTGAGATAAAAAAAAAAAAAAAAAAAAAACTGCCAACATAAAGATAAATAATAGGCTTGACCTTGAAGTAGCCCTGCTTTAATCTACTTCTGAATTTTGTTTTGGAAGCATTGGTGTGTAGTGCTGAGTATCATGAGGGACAAAGATGACTGCGTTACAGGCTATTCTTATGGAATTTATACTACTGCAGGTAGTATTTCTGAGGCTGTGGAGCTAGAAATGCCCTGAAGGAATAGCACCTGTGCTTGGATAGCACTCTTGTTTGTACAGTTTTGGATAGAGATGGTCTTTTTATATGAAAAACTTCCAGAACAAAGGATGTGGGTTTCCATATCTTAAAAATTGATTGTTTGACAGTAAATTTTTTTTTACACAGATAGCCTTGGGAATTTTTTTTCCAAACTCGAATGCATGTGTACATACATTGCATACACACAGACATGGGCATGAACTTGATTCTAGTTTGGTTTCCTCTGCCCTATCTGTGTGATATGTATACACACACACATACACACACATACCCTGAAATGCTTGTATACAACTAAAACCAGGTGGATCAAGTTAAACTTTCCACAGTAGCTAAAATTTATCAAATCACTAAATAATTGCTCTCTTTTTGTTTTAAACGGGAAACACTTATCTTACCTAGCTCTGGTAGTGTGGTGCCTAAGGCACTTGACTGCTAACCAGAAGTCTGGCAGTTCAAACCCACCAGCCACTCCTCAGAAGGAAGGTTGGGCAATCTACTTCCGTAGTGATATTGCCTCAGAAACCCAAGGAGGGGTCACTGTGATGTGCTTTTTTTGGAGGCCATTAGCACAACAAATGTAACAGGTAGCCTCAGCCCCCACCCTGCTCCTTTCCTCTCCACTACTCTCTCACAAAGGAGGCAGGATGGTACACCATTGTAAGATATAGTCAGGCCAGATAATCTCCTCTCACTGTATTGGAATCTAGGAAACTTCACTGGTGGGTAAGAAGGTGGGTAGGCAGAACCCAGATAAATTGGAGTGTTGGGATACCTCCAAGGTCTAAAGAAACAGCACATCTTGGTTGCCTTGGCTTTCTGTGCTCTATGCATAGTGTTGCCTCATTTTCTTAATAGCAAATGTGCCCTTTCCCTAT